ATATGATCAGTTATGTATATATACTATGTAGAATTTGATTAGTTGATTATTTCATATGCTAACATATTTTTTATCTTTTTATTTTTCTAAAAAAATGTTATCTTTGTTTTTTAGATATATGATGATTTTGTTTTATTAGATTTCATTCTATATAAATTATTAATTTCGAAATTATATTAAAATATTAAATTAATACGAAATATGTTTATGTATATTCAAAATAGATATGTTTACATATATTTAATTTTGAATTTAATTGTCTACTTTATATGGTAAAAGATTATTATGATTTCCATAAATATAGATTGTTTTTGTTTTTGTTTTTTTTTCTGTCATTAATTCTGTTTGGCAACTTGTTTTATTTTCATGAAATTTTTTAAAAAATTTGGGGGTGTTTGGCTTCAAGTTGTCCTTCACAATTAATAGTATAGATTAACTTAAAATAGTGAAAAAACGAAAGTAATATTTTTTTCACTAAACCAAATAAATTAATTGGTAACTAACCTTTGAACTGAAATCCTACAATTTCTCATTTGGTATAAAAACTTTAGGCCATCCTCAATACAAGGATTTTAGGGGTATTTTCTCTAAGATTTGCAATGAATGATCCTTAGAGCAACATTATAGGTAGTATGTTAATTAGGCTATCTTACATTAATTTAGTATTAAATTTGAAAAAGTAGAGTTTAAGAGTTTTAATTTTGTTTTTAGTTTTGAGATGTGTTTATTGGTAGGATCTTAAGTTGAGTATCTTAGAAAAAAATTATTTTTTAAAAAACTATATATATTTATAATTTGTAATTTAAGAAAATCTTATAATTATTGCAAATTTGGAATTTGAAAAATACAAAAGATAGAAATTACTAGATAAAGTACAATAGTTTTAAACTTGATTGTGAGAAAATTTTGTCCATATATGCTCGACCAAATAAATTGTTTACACTTTAACCCAATAAAACATAGAACTAAAATACTTTAAAGTAGATGAAAGAATCAAAATTTAATATACTTCGATGATTTCAAAATCAAGATACTTATATATATTCAGTTTTAGCATCGTTCAGTTTTGACATATATAAAAAATAGAAAATGTCATAGATAAAAATATTAAAAAGTATTAAGTAAGGCTAATAAATAAATATGAAACTAATTCATTAATTAAATCTTTTAATAAAACTAAAATATTAAAAATCAAAAATATATTTTTTAAGAATTTTTTGAGCCGACCTGAGCCTGACCGGGTTAAATCCAGAAAATCTTTTAGCTTAAAAATAGAATAATGTTTTTTTTTCTATCATATATTTATCTAGCCAATAAAAATATGTTGATTACAAAAAAAAACAAAAAAAAAAAACAAAAAGTATGCCACGTAGGCGTCTCTTAACTCACACAAGATCTCTTATATAACATACGTATCTTACAAATAATATTGTTTTTCATTTAAACTAGATTTTAAGCCGCGGTACACCGCGGGACGACATTCCTAAAATGTATTCTTTTTATTAATTTTGTTTCGTATATAAGAGTGTACAACTATATTTTGATTGTTAATTCTATGATTTAACTTGTAGCATATTATATGATAATTTATTTTTTATATAATCGTAATTTGATCAAATTAATTAAATAAGTATAATATTTAAAATAATGAAATGATATTGACATAATATTTATTTACATAGTATAATTCCATATTAAAATATTTTATGAGTTAAAATATAGTAGACAACCCTTAAAAATATCTATAATCATAATTATGTAAATTAAAATCCGCCATCACATGATCCGTGCTACACAATTATCATTAATACGTTAGTACATCCATTTTTGTAACGTTTGAGCAATATACATCCGTTTCAAAAAATTCAAATTGCAACATATGCAAAAAAAAATTTATTTTTTATTATACATATGTTTATGTAATAATATAAATTTAAAAACAAATAAGATCATATAAAGATGTTGAAGAATTATTTGATTTATTAGGGAGATATTTTAGGAAATTTTGTTAAATGTAATATATATTGATTTTTAATTTTGCAATTTTATTATGATTTAATTATAAAATTCATCTTAAACTTTTTCTATTTAATCAAATGGCAGGGATTAATTATGAAAATATCACAAATTAAAAGGGTAGAACACAAAATGTACTTCAAAAATGTTAATATAGATTTAAATGTTAATTTAGGTAAGATCCTCCTTAAATCCTCCTGATAATGGTGGTATTATATAAGATACATCCTTTGCAAATCTTAGGAGAAGATATTCCCTAAGATTCTTGCATCGAGGATGGTCTTACTCTATATAGAATGTATCGATCGTAAAGAAAGAACAATTCATTGAGCCTAAAGCTTTTAGAGAAACCTTGTAAACTTGCTGAATCAAATGAGAGAGTTATATAAACAGAAATACGATGACACAGTTTTATCATTTACAAACAAAAGTAATAGCAAAATGATCCCGTTTTTTTTTCTTCTTCGAGAAAGCATAAGTGGTAAAACAAACCAAAAGACGTTTGTTTCATTAGTTTGGGATTTTTTAGAGTTTTTGATTTATCCATGTACCTACATCAATATACTCGTCGGATGTGAGTTCCATCTCCTCTTTCTCAAAGAAATCAGCTTCCTTCCATCACTCCATGGCATTTCATATGTTCATTTAAATTTATATGGTTGGTGTTGTGATTTTTTTTTTTTTTTTTTTCTTTTTTTTTTTTTTTTTTTTTTTTAAATATATGAAAACCCCTTAATGGGCTGGGCCCTTAACGGGCCGATATCAGATTACAGAAAAACGAAACTTTGGCTACCCAAGAAGGACGTCGGAAAGCTCGCCGGAGAAGAGATCGGAGGATCGGATCTTGCTGTATAACCGGAGGCAGAGAATCAGAGCACTAGCACCGGCGGATTCAAGGAGCACGGCGTTGCGGCAAGATCGAGAGGAAGAGGAACGCCGGTGGAAGAATCCGGATCCCACCATTGAAACCAAACCGCCGACTCACCAACCTGCTACACTCCTCCCGGAATACCCAATCGTCCGACAACCGGTTCCGAGAAGTCAGAACCCATTCCTAGCAAACCGACGACCGAGAATCTATCCCCTCCAACCAAACCAGGAGCCTCGACAACCCCTGAGCCAAAACCAATCACCCGGACCGGAGGAAACCCCAACGGAGGATCCGGAAGATGCTTGGCTCAAGCAAACAAACCAAAACCAAAACCCGAAGGGGCCAGTAAAGGATCCGAAGAACCTACCGTGAACCGCCGAATCAAAACAGCGAACCCACCGTTTCATCTCTGACTTCCGCCGTAGCCACAACAACTAAAGGGGCGGCTGAGCCAAGGAGAGGCTCCGATACAACCGCCAGCGTCTTCAAACCAGGGTCATGCGCAGCAGAGCACTCCACCGCCCGATTGGAGCCGCCGCTACATCAGAGAAGAGACACCACACCACCGCCGTCGGAGAAAAGAGACGCCCATCACCTAAGCTCCATTTCTGACAATCGTCCACCATCGATGAGCTCTACAAGAAGAAAGAAACAAGAAGGGGAGGGAGAAGACACACAAGCACCAACGGCGCCGGTGAAGATGCTTCCCCCTCGATCTGTGCGGCTAGGGTTTTGATGAGAGAGGAGAGAGTGTTTGGCGTTTTGGCCGCTCAAAGGCTCATTTGGTGGTGTTGTGATTTTGTCGGTGTGTTTGTATTAGAATAAAAATATCTCAAATTGGAATTTGAGTAGGAACTTAAGTGGTATCGATACAAACATTAAAGAACAATAACATCAAAGAACAATAAAAATTATTTAAGATTTTGCCGATTAGTTTTGACTTTCGAGTAGGAATCTCATATTCTTATAACTTGTAAAAATGATTTTGCTTCTTTTGTATATAATACAGTTTTGGGATAATTTTGTTGTATAAAAGAGTTTAAGAGATAAAAATAATAGTTCAAACAATATGGCCCCCTTATAATTTTGTTGTATTCAAAAGAATACAAAACACATAATTATATGAAAAAATTACATTTGAATAATATATATTTATATATTTCTTAATAAATTGTCATAGTTAAGAATATCAAAACGAACTCAAGAGACGACATTTTTCAATGCAATCCGTATTTGGCAGTGCACATACCCTTAATCATGAAACGTATGTAAGGCATGCTCGGGAAGATGATCAGCCAACACAAATCAGAAAGTGAATCAACGATTACACAACACTGTTTCTTGATCTCATGAAAACGTCCGTGAAAGATTCCTGTAATGTTGTCGAAACATTCATGTGGTGTTTTTTTAAGCTCACTCCAACATTCATCTTGGAAACTCCAAATCACCCAATTAACTAACATGTATGGTGATTTCGTAAATTATAGCTACGTCACATGTTACATTATTTAGATATGCACTTAACCTTTTTTATTTTATTTTTAACGTAAATTTTTATTAGATATATACTTTTTAATCTGATTTTTTGATTCTTTACATATCATTTTCAAGATTGAGCAATTAATAATTGTTTTAAAATTTTCAAATTCTAGTATATGTTGGAAAAAATTTATCCTATAAATAATATTCTGATTTCGAATCATTACTCCAATTCTAGTAGTTTATGATGTTCAATTATTGGGAAAGACAACTAAGCCTAGTTGGATTGATTTGAAATACTTGAGGAGAACGCTATTAAGCTCATGAAATGGATGATGAGAAGTTTCTGTACAAGTTCATTCATCCAGATGTTGATACATTAAAGATGGCTCTCCCAAACACCGAATCCACATCGCTTATATTGGGTTTAATAGTGACTTGGCAGAAGACACATCTTCTTGCTTTTATTGTGTGCTTCGTAAAAAATATAATCATACATAGATAAGAGGTGAAATATAATGAGCAACGATAAATTAGTATGGTAAGTTTGATATCAAATCTTATATGTTTATTTTGATTGGATATTTATATTTTGTAATTGAAAATGTTATTTAGTTTTAAGTAATTAATTTGGATAAATTATTTATCAACATTTTTACTTTTAATGAACATATTAATTTATTTTATGAAACCTATATTTATAATATTATTTTCATATAATTAGTTACACATTTAAAAGTTGTATTGAAAATGTATTTTCGTTTTGTTAAGTAGGAGATCATTAAAATTATATACAGTACTCACTTAATTTTTGACAAATATAATGGTCGATTTATTCTCTGACCATTTTGTAATAATTAATCCATAAATATAAAATTTAGTTAGAAATCAGTTAGAAATTACCACGTATATAAACAATTGAAAATCAAGTCGAAATTTACTTATATATGATCATTATATATATATATATATATACATCATTATATATGTAATTACATATTTATAGGAAATGGTGCCTACATTTATTTAATTATCCATATTAAGTTAAAAATTTAATTAAATAGATGAACGAGCAGCCAAACACTCACTCCATATCTTAGGAATGTAGATAAACGAGTAGCCAAACACTCCTTCAATTTCCGAAATCGAATCGTTCGTTTATCAGCAATTCGAACCTTCATCATCATCTTCTTCTTCCCATAGTCCCGCGCTCCTACGAAATTTCAAATTCTCTCCTTCTTCCATGAAGGATCACATTCTCATTTCCGACGGAGAAGATCCGCTTACTCCACTCCCATCACTCTCGAAGCGTGCTCGAAAAGATCCAATCTCTGCGATACTGATATCGGATTCAGATCCGACACCGCAGAAGCAACCGCCGGAATCATCTCCCTCTCCTATTTTCGTCCCTGAGACACCTCTCTCCGATGATTTCTCTGTCGTCAAGTGCTCCGTCGGTTCTGGAACTTTGGCTTCTAACCGCGAAGACAAATTCTCCGGTATGTTAATGTTCGTGCTCATAATTTTCGCGATTCTCAGTATTTAGGTTTATTTTGATATATGTAATTTGGAATTGATACCGCAATGCTTGTGAAATTTCGTAAGTTTTTTCAGGTTTTTGAATTTGTGTTACTCTAATCATCAGGCTAAACAATGATTCTCTTTGGAATTGATAATGTTTAATTTGGGATTTCACTAGGCAAACGGATAATTTCTCTGGATTCGGAGTTTGAAGATAGTCCTCAGCTTGAAACATCGAAGAAGTATGAAACCAAGCTTGGTGATTTTAGGCAGCCATGTCGTGGATTGGGAGCTGGATCCAGTGAGGCATATCATAAAAATACTAGAGTAACTGATACAAATATAGGTATGCTTACCTCAAAACTATAAATTTTCTGCATCTATCAAAGTATGCATGATGTATCGTACACATATAAATGCTGATTGCTGTATTCTTTCAGATGATAATACAGATTGGATGCATGAAGTCAGTTTTCACACTTCGCTTACCAATGATACTATTGAGGTATTTATCTGCAAGGAACTGGTACCATAGTGTATATCATTGAGACATGATTGGGGAACTTTAGACTCTATTCGTTGTGTTATTTGCATAGCAGTGTTTTAGAGGATGTGATAGTTCTGGATTCGCATAACGTCTCATTTCTTTGTGTCTTCAGCGTTCAGGTTTTGCTGTTGTTGTTTCTTTCATTTTTGTTTTGTCTTACTCTTATTTCTAAATGGTATCAGGTTGATTCTGATCAAGAAAAAGAGGATATAAGCGTCGAGAAAATGGGTCGGAAAAAGAAGATCAGAACTACAACTCTCCCGGATGAAGCACTGCCAAAAAAGCAGCTGTCGAAGGAAGACAAAACCTGTACAATGGTGGAAAAGAAGTTACGAAAAGAGGTAAGTGTTCTTTACGTTGCTTTGTTTTTCTAGTTTCTGTGTACTGATCAATAGTTAACTGGGTTCCATCATCCAGCAAGAAAAATTACAGAAAGCAGCCTTGAAAGCAGAAGAAGCTGATCGTAAAGAATTAGAGAAGGAAAAGAAAAAATGGGAAAAGGGAAAGTTAGCTCTTAAATCTATTGTTGCTGAGATTGATACTAAAGTAATTGAAGGATCCAGTGGAGGTAAGGAATTTCTTTATTTCTTATGTTACTCTTCAATATATGCTTTAGATGTGTGCTCTTTGACTCTCTTTTTTATTTATTTCATATGAATGGTTAGTTTGTCACTTAAGCATAGACACTGAGTGCTTGTGGTATTAATGTTAACATAGGACTTCTGCTTTCAAGGTTCTCTGAGAAAGGCATTAAAATCCACGTAGGCCCTAATCCAATTGAGAGATCCATTGTGTGGTCGATGACAATTCCAGAGGATATTGCTCCGGTACAGTAAAATCTCGGTCGCTTTGGCCTTTTTTTAAAAATTCGTTTTTAATGTTTACAACTTGCTTGCATCCTGAGTCTCACCACTGACATGTATGAAAATTAGTTTTTAGAACTTAGAACTTGCATCACAACCTAGTTTGGTCTGTATCCTTGTTTAATGTGAGGATTCACATGGTAGTTTATACAATTTCTTTGACGTTTGGATTATATTCTAGTGGTGGTAATCAAAGCTATGATCTCAACTCTGGGTTAAAGGGCCTTTGTGGATCAGTACTTGACTAAAACTATATGAATCATCTGTATCCAGTATCTTATTTTACTCTTAATTAGCATCTTTTTTTCCCTTCTGCAGCTCTTCCCCCAAGGACCCAAGATTCCTTATGTGCTCCTCGTGTATGAGGCTGAAGAATTTTGTAATCTTGTTGCTAATGAAAAAATTCTTGAAAACATCTTAAAAGTTCATGACCTGTACCCATCTTATACGGTGTGCTGCCTCACACATAAGTTAATGTCATACGTAAAGAAAAGGTGTGTTTGACATAGTAAATTTGTGTTATGTTAATGTTTCTATCATGAAGCTGAATAAATTAATCTTCAAGGGAAAAGGAAGAGTACAAGAATCCGGGAAATTGGAGACGGCCTCCTATCGATGAGGTACTACAGTAGCTGATAAGCATTTATATAGAGTATTTTTTATTATTATTGTTCCTTTATTTGTGTCCCTATACATACGTTGATATACTTGATGTGTACTACAGGTACTAGCAAAATTAACTACTCACTATGTTAGAGTACATTCCAGACATTGTGTAGACGAGGCTGAGGTCGCTGAACATGTTGTTGGTTTAACAAGCAGTCTGGCCTCTTGCCTGTTCAGGTACTAATATCTACACTATTTTGATTTCAGTATCATTCTGGATGATATAGTTTTGTTCCTCCCAATTTGTTGAATTGGTTTGGAAAACCATATACTAATCATTTCTTAATCGAAGCCCATGACTTTCAAATCATATATATCTCCACGCAGTTAAATACGATGTAGATCTCACTTCAAAAGCTTATGTCATACCTATAACCCATCTTCTTATCTTAGTCTTATGTCATATATGGCCGAAGATCTGAGAGGTCAACATTACGTAGAATTGAGTTGACAGATGCACGCGTGGCTGATGACCATGTGTTTCTCTGTGTTTTTAAGGTAAAATTAACCTTGGCTCTACTATGTAATGCACAGGAAGAAATTAACTATGTTATCAGTAAGCGCTAATGGTGCAATAGTCTCCAAGGATTCAATTGACAAACACTTGATTAAAAAGAGTCCATGGTAAAGAAACAATTTTGAATTTGAGGTTGTGTTATATAGTCTATCTTAATCTGTTCAGTAAGTAATTTTTTACTTGTTAATTTATAGGTTAAAAGCGTTAGTAGCAATACCAAAGGTACAGCCACGATACGCTGTAGCAGTGTGGAAGAAATATCCTTCGATGAAGTCTCTTCTTAAGGCTTACATGGATCCTAACAAATCTGTGAGTAAAGACAAACTACGGATTTTGACTTGCTCAGTTTGTTGGTTATATATGTTTCTGAAGCAAATTGTGTTGTGTGGAACAGGTTCATGAGAAGGAGTTTTTACTACAAGACTTGAAAGTGGAAGGTTTAGTAGGAGGAGATAGAAGGTTAGGTGAGATTTGTTCAAAGCGAATATACAGAGTTCTCATGTCTCACAATGGAGCCATTAAGACCGATGATGTCGAAAACGGTGCTGCTTTCTTCACCGATTCTTCACATCCGGGTGCCACTTAGTTAGGGCCAAAGGAGACCAAAGCAAAACCATTATCGATATAGATATGCTTGATTCAGTCTTGGTGCCAGTTCATGTCTCTGATGTTAGCTATGTATGTTTGATTCAAATAATGTCATTATTAAATAGCCTGCTATAGTGCTGTCTATTGAATGTTGCATGACCAAATTACATGCAATTTTTCGCTTGTAAAGGATACAAGTACATGTATACTAATTAACTCATACCCGTTTCAAAAAGAAGAATACTTAAAAGTAGCATCTTCGAGTCAGGGATTAAGGTATCATAATCTCTTGGACTCTTGAATTATTCACTTTCACACATTCACACAAGACACAGGAGCACACTGGTACTCTCTTTTTTGTAATTTTCTCCTAAACAATTCGCTAATCACGAGGAGTCAGTGATACGCTCTTCCCAATTATCTTACTTTCAAGTTTCAAATCTCTACATCTCTTGAGGTTTCTGGAGACTTCGGAATTTGCAAAAGTTTGTTGTCAACGAGTCTGTATTACATTCATCCGCTGATGAAAGGATGATTTTTTTGGAGTATGTGGTGTTTGCGAAACAGTAGTACATATAGGATATAATGCATTTATATGCCTATTATGTGATTAATTATGTTGCCCGTATTGAATGCATTCTCTAACGAGGTAATTAATGTGTCACTTTTTTTCTTGATGGTGATGATGATGATGATGACCTTACTGATCATAATCAACACAAAAAGTGGTCTTCATCGTACTTGAAACATTTGTATTGATTATTGATTATTGAACTATGAGATAAATGTTTTTTTTTTTTGTTTTTTTGGTAATATCTATTCAAACACGTCCTGTTTTATAACTAGGTCCGTCATATAATATATCTGTATGATTACAAGACTTTGAATGATTATCTACACATTTTAGCGGATTTAAGATGTTAAACCCACACTATCTATATTAATTGAGTGATATATGTCTGCGTTTAAAAATTCAAATCACAAAATATGCAGAAGAAAAATTAAATTTTTTATTAACTTCATGTATTATACGATGATTCAAAAAATATTAAAATGAATATTTTACTCGTATTGAAGTATATAGTCATTATAACCATACTTATGAACTATGAGAACATAACTGACCGCTAAAACAACAATTAAAGTCAGAGTTTTGCTTACATAAAAAAATTTAACATTTACTCTTCCACTTCTCCAAAATTTCATATTTCTCAACTATTTCTCTCTCCCTTATCCCAATCTCTTACAAATCATCTTCCTCTCCGAGTGTTGTCTAGTTTCAGTTCGAGAATGAAAACTGGATCCACGAAACTAGATGTTCACTTCATGGCTTTCTTATCGTCAGAGTTCGTGAGTACGTAATTATAATTATAGACTCTGTATCATTCGCTAAAATTTTTAGCCGATTTATAATGTTAAACACACATTTTTATATTAATTGAGTGAAATATGTCCGCGTTTAAAAATTTGAATCACAAATATGCATTTGAATCAAAAATATGCAAAATAAAACTAAATTCTTATTAACTTTATGTGTTATACAATGATTCAAAAATATTAAAAAATAAAGTCAAAAAAATAGGTAATGAGAACTATTATTTTAAATATTGACAAATCTTCTAAATATCTATATGGATTTTTTAATTTTTTTTTCCAATTATTTCCCATTGATTTTCTAAGATATTAATATGGTTTCTTAGAAAAATTACAAAATTGATAATAGTTTCTTTGATTTAAGCCCACTCATATTGATCATAATGTTGCTCCCTAAAAAAGGAAATAAATATTTCCCAGTATTCACATTCATTAATATGGTTTCGATTTTAAAGAGATAAAATAAAATTAATGCTAGTGGCAGTCCCTGTAAATAGGGTAGAAGTACATGATTTATTTCAAAAAGTGATTTAAAAATGTTAATACAGATTTCATCTATTTATGTTTTGTTATGAATTTGCATATGTTTTGCTCAAAAAAAAAGTTTTGTACAGATCATTACTTTGTTTTTAATGAATATCTTTACAAGTATCTACATCAATGAATCCTAAATAGTGTTCTAATTTTGATTAAGATTAAATTGATCTATCTACTTTATTAATTTCGTGATAGTTTTATAAGCTATTCATAAAGCAATTAATGTATATATGTCTTATTTGAAATATCCATTTTTCTTACTTTTGTAGTAAGTAAGATCAATCAAAGAAGAATAATATTTTTTTAAATGACTAATCGTCTCGTAATTATTCTTATGTTTCTCCTCTAATTGTATAAACCGTGAGTGGTTTCAAGTACGAAGAGAAAGAGTGATGAAACTAAAATATAGCAAAGTTTTACAAAATATGGATGAGCCACACCACTTCATATAGACTATACTACAAGTCTGCAAACCACATATCCAAGTATGCCTCATTCTCGATGGCTTTATTATATATATGCGTAAAAAAAAAAACCCACAAACACAGATTAATAGATAAATTTTATTAATTAAAATTTTAGTTTGGGACATTTGGTAAATCATATAAAGGGAAATTATCAATGTAAACATGAACAATCATGTCCACCTGCTTGATTTTTACATTTGCAATGAGTATAGTATTTATCATGAGTTTCCCTTAGGCATTGTTGAGCAGCCTTAGCAGGATTAGGATTACATGGTGTGTCCGGAATGAATTCAACAAGTAAAGGTGCGTGTTCTTCTGCCTCCACTATTTTATATCATCAACCACAAAAAAATATTAATTAGATGATGGATCAAAAAACTTTTTTCATATTAACCAAGTAACCAATATATATCTCACCTTTAGCATTATGCATCACCAAAAACATGAGTACACAAGAAACCACAAGCAAAGTAGCAGATTTCATGATGTAGAAATTAACAACTGATTTACTATATTTTTCTGATTTTTTTGTTTTTTTATCTCCTACTGAATAATTTCTAATCAACATTTCTTATATATATACACATACACCACACTCTAAGATATATTTTGTTCTTATTCAAATAAAATAATTAATTGCCCATTCAAGAGTCAAACAAAACAAAATATTGAGATAAACTTATTCAAATTTAACATATTCAAAGTTTACTAAAACAAAAAGCCAATACATTTGTATTTGACCAAAATTCTTAATTTCCCATTTGAGAATCAAAACCAAAATATTTTATTAAGATAATAACTAGAATAAGATATGCACATTAAGGTACGAAAATTATCTAAAAAGGTTGGACTTCAAACATACTAACTCACGTAATCACAACAAGTGTCAAGTCTAACCACTTAGATTTTGACAATGTAAAAAACTTCAACCAACTAAATTTAGGGGTTGTTATTGGTTTATGATATGACTTTATGTTATGTAGAATATGTTGTTATTCAATCAAGATTTTGTTAATTAAATCAAAGTTTGATGTTATTAGTTTGTGATTTGTAAAAGTCATTTACAAATCTAAGATTGATAAAGTCAATAAGGGTTTTCTGTTATTCAACTAAAAAAAAATCTAAGATTCTTAATGCATTCAATTATTACTAGGAGATATCCGTGCTATCACACATATGACATTTTTTAGAAAATTACTAAATAAATTATATTTGTATTTATTTTAAAAAATTTTATTTTATTTGAGATAGTGTTTACTTTTTCATATTTCAAGTGTTTAGAAATTTAGATTTTTTAATTTTTGAAAAGGTATGATCGCTTTGACTGATTAATTTGCGATCTGAACACGGAATGTTTTTTCAGTGTGGGTCTAATTCTAAATTCTGGTAATCTTAAAACCAGAAAAAATGAGAAAAATGTCATAAACTTACGACAGTAGCGGAGCCATAACTAGATTTTAGAGGTGTTCAAAATATTTTTTTTTAATGGGGTAAAAATATAAAATTTAGGAGATCAAAATGTTGCTAAATCTTCGTATAAACCTGTAGTACTTTTGTTGATTGAATATTTGCAAAATGTTGTTAAACTATAATATAAACCTTCTGGTGATTTTTAAGTCCCACGCCGAAGAGTATTTCAATATAAACCTTTTGTTGAGGCATCCATCTCTCGTCACACTCTTCGCAATGTCTGTAACCAAAGAGTTAGCCTTCAAATGTGACAACTTAAACTTCACCTCTCCAATGGAATGTAAAAGCTCGGAAATCCTATCTAGTTGAACCCGATACTTAGGCCACAACAAATAAGACTCAACCGCAGATACATCTGCTTTACAATCCGACCACATTTCACAAGAAGTAATATGTAAGTCTTTAAGACTCTTCAAACACCAATGAAAGCAGCTTAACTTAGTTTAACCATTTATATTATGCATATTTTTTTCTCATTAGTTAAATTGTATTTAGATATATATATATTTTAAAAAAATTGTTTAAATATAAACAAAACTTAAATAATTTCTTAAATAATGTGCATTAGTCCAAAAAATGATCTAAAAAGAACGAAGGGAGTATTAAAAAAAAAAAGAACTCTTACTTTTTTTTTGTCATCAAATAAAAAGCTAACTCAAATGAGCCAACTTGACGGACAATTGTTTACAAACTTAATCAAATGCGGACTGGAACGAGATTTGCGTGCCAAGTAATCCGCTTTTACAAAAAAAAAAAAAAAAAAAAAAAAAAAAAAAAAAGACTCTTACGGTATTGCTAAATTTAAAGCAGTATGTCATGTATAAAAAATAAGGCATTTTTCTTTAGCCAAAAAAAAAAGTAACATTGAAAAAAAAAAACACTAGGCTGGACATTATTTTATTTTTATGTAGTGTTATAGGACTTTTTTTTGGAAACAAAACTCACTTAGTTAATATTCATTGATTTTTTTTTTTTGGTACTTTTTCTACATTAGCTAAAATAAGCTGTGAGACCATCGTTTTAAAATTTACAATCTGTTATTTTGGAAGAAGAACCAACGGCAACAGAGTTGGCAGTGACGATTTGGGTGACATATATTAGCGCGTGGTGGCTGGCCACGACCATGTCCTTGAGAGAATGCCTGGGAGCTGCGGGTGCGTGGTCAATCTCCCCACCATTCGGGACAGCCTACAACTTTAAGACACGAAGCTGCTTCATTTCCAGCTACAATTCCATCCCACAGCTTTGTCAGGCTACCAAAGTATATTCATTCACCATAGAGCCATTTTGCTTGCAATTTGCGAAAAGAGTTGTATTGGAAGATGGAGAACCGGAATGAGTGGATTGACCCTAAGCTTTTATATATTACTTAAGTTCTATTACATCTTTCCATATGAGATTTTTTTCCACACGTCCCCTCAAGTTAATATAATGGCTCTTTTAGCCATTAATCTCGACATAATCTATCAAGTTGTGTAGTTGTTGAATGCACGTTCTTTTTTAATCCACCCTTAGGCCATGAATGTTTTGTAGTTCATAAATGGGTTTTAGCTTTTGGTTTTTGGTTTTTGGCTTTTGGTTTTTGGTTTTTAGTTTTTGATTTTTATTGTAGCTTTTAGTTTTTGAAAAATCTTGAATAGTAATTTGTTTAGTTTTTGGTTTTATTTGAAAAAAATAAAAATTAATAATCAATAAGAAAAGTCGCGTAATATTGTTAGAAAGCTGAAAAAATAGTTTTTAGATTCTATCAATGAATTGGTAGAATTGTGAATGTCAATTTTTTTGGTCTTTTAGAATCAAAAATCAAAAACTAATCTAAAAACTGCTACCATTCAAAGTCTTAGGGTTTGACCTCTACGAATGTATATATAAATATGCTAAGTACTAAATCTCTCTTATTAAAACGATAATGTTAATTATCTTCACTAATAGGAAAATATCCTCAATAACAAACTCAAAAGTTTAAATAATATACAGTATGTTCATATGTATGTATCAAAATTCAAAATATGCATAATTTCTGTGATATTTTCTGATCATATGTGAGTCTGGAAATGATCAAAATTAAAAATATGAATCTCATCACAGTCCTAAAGCTTTAATTTAAACAATAAATGTGAAGCGGCTAATTTGGAGAACAAATCAAAGCATCCACGTATTGGTAATTCTTGGAACAAAGACTATACTACAAGTCTGCAAACCACATATCCAAGTATGCCTCATTCTCGATGGCTTTATTATATATATGCGTAAATAAAAAAGAAAAAAACATACCCACAAACACAGATTAAAAGATAAATTTTATTAATTAAAATTTTAGTTTTGGACATTTGGTAAATCATATAAAGTAAAATTATCAGTGTAAACATGAACAATCATGTCCACCTGCTTGATTTTTACATTTGCAATGAGTATAGTATTTATCATGAGTTTCCCTTAGGCATTGTTGAGCAGCCTTAGCAGGATTAGGATTACATGGTGTGTCCGGAATGAATTCAACAAGTAAAGGTGCGTGTTCTTCTGCCTCCACTATTTTATATCATCAACCACAAAAAAAGATAATTAGATGATGGATTAAAAAAAATATAACAAGCTTTTTTCATCACTAAATCTTCTCATATTAACCAAGTAAACCAATCTCTTTTTTTTTTTTTGGGGACAAACTAGAGTAAACCAATCTCTATATACATATATCTCACCTTTAGCATTGTGCATCACCAAAAACATGAGAACACAAGAAACCACAAGCAAAGTAGCAGATTTCATGATGTAGAAATTAACAACTGGTTAATGTATTATCTGATTTCTTTGTTTGTTTGTTTGTTTATCTTCTACTGAATAATTTCTAATCAACAATGCTTATATATATATATGCATCACTCATGTACTCTAAGGTATTCTTTGTTCTTACTCAAATATAGACACGTTTAGGTAACAAATTTTGTAATTGACCTATTCAAAGTTAACTAAAACAAAAAGGCAATACATTTGTATTTGACTAAAAGTCTTAAATGCCCATTTGAGAGTCAAAACAAAAATATTTGAAGATAATAACTTAAATAAGATATGCACATTTAGGTCTTAAATTATCTAAAGCTTGGATCACACATATAAAGTCACATGATCACGACAAGTGTCAAGTTCATCCACTAAGATTTTGACAATGTAAAAAACTTCGACCAATTAATTTTAGGAGGTGTTATTGGTTTTTGATTTTAATAAAGTTTTAATGACTTTAAATGTTATGTAGAATCTTTTATTATACCATCAAGATTTTGTAAAGTTCAATTAAAGATTGATGTTATTAGTTTGTGATATGTGAAAAGTCATTTAACTTATTAGATTCAGAACTTTATAAAATCAATAAAAGTTTTTGTGCTATTCAACTAAAGCAATAAAATCTAAGATTTTTAATGCATTCAATTATTACTAGGGGATATCTATGCTATCGGACGGCTGATGTTTGTTCAGAGAGTAAATAAATAATTTATATTTGTATTTATTCAAAAAATGTATTTTTATTTGAAATAGTGTCTACTTTTTATATTGCAAGTGTTTAGTAAATTAGATGTTTTTATTTTTGAAAAGGTCTGATCGGTTTAACTGGTTAATCTGCGATCCGAACACTAGATAGTTTTTAGGTTTGGGTTTAAAGCTAATAATCAGTAATCTTAAAACCAGAAAAAATCAGAAAAATGTCATGAACCTACGACAGTACGTGACAGTATTTTCGACGCCCTGCGCTAAGGATCTGATGTCGTGAGGGGACTTTTGGTGGTGTCTGACGAGAGTGGAAAAGAGTATGTTGTAATTTGGTTGGTTCTTCTACCTCCCTGGCCATGCTTATATGAGCTTTCGCAAGAAAGGGGACACTCCTCATATTGAATCCCACTGGTTGGATGGCTTAACCTATATGGTACTACGGGGTTACCGTGTTTATATCTCAACAAGTCTACGTTATATATGTTCGAGTCCTAGTTCTGTCTGGACAACAAGGTTTTTTCAAGGACATCACCGATGGTAAACCATTCCCAATGCTTTCTAGCATTGCGGTTACAACGTCAGGAGAGGTTTTGTAGGTTGAAAGGAATAGCCGAAATTAATATAACCCAAAACATGAAGGAAATATGAGACTTGCATATTAACATAAAACAATAGAGGATGCGTTGATACATGTTCAAGAAATTCACATGTGTGTGCATGTGATTTATCGCCTATGATATATATATTTAACCAAAGTATGTGCATGTAATTATCGTTGGCTTTATTATATGCGTAAAAACAAAATTCATAACCACAACACAAATTAAATATGTAAAATTTTATTAAAATACATTTAAGTTCGTGACATTCGGTAAATCATATAAAATAAAATTATTAATGATAACATGAACAATCATGTCCACCTGCTACATTTCTACAATAGCAATTTGTATAGTATTTATCATTCGTTTCAATTCGGCATTGAGAAGAAGCCGTAGCAGGATCTCTGTAGCAGTACGTTCCTGGAACAAACTCAACAAGTAGAGGTGCTCGGTCTTTTGCCTCCACTATTTTATATCAACCACAAAAATATTAGATGGTTAATAAAATGTCATAGGTTATATATAAAAAAATTGATAATACAAAAACTTAGACGCTTTTTCATAAATAAATTTCATCAATCAAGTAACCATTCTCCAAATATATTTCACCTTTAGCATTATGCATCACCAAAAACATGAAAACACAAGAAACCACAACCAAAGTAACAGATTTCATGATGCAGAAATTAAACAACTTCTTTAATATATTTTTCTGATTTTTTTGTTTGTTTATCTCCTACTGAATAATTTCTAATCAGCATTGCTTATATATACATGCACCACACACTAAGATATTTTTTCTTATTCAAAAAAAAATATTCACTTGCCCATTTTAGAGTCAAAACATAAACATTTTTGAGATACATATATATTTAGGTAATAAATTTTTGTATTTAACTTATTCAAAGTTATCATATTCAAAGTTAACTAAAACAAAAAAAGCAATACATTTGTATTTGACCAAATTATATATTGCCCATTTGAGAGTGAAAACATAAATATTTATGAAGATAATAACTTGCGATATGCAAAACTGGCAAATCAATACACGTACCGGGATGCTCTCATTTTTCTATGTTTTTACTACGGATCATTTGCATCTTGGTTTCTTTTTTCTTTAATTAATATTAAACTATGGTGAGGTTATGACTGATTGACTCTGCTATGTTTGACGTCTAGAATGATCCCAAACTTTTATATGAAAACGAAAAGGAAAAAAAAATCTCAGTTCAGTTTATAACCATAAGAGGCAAACCAAAAAGATGAATATATGAGCTACACAAAATACAAAGGAGAGAGGACAACAAAATGTTACAAATGAATTGAATCACTAACACACAGTTAACAAGATTTGAAAGAAAGAAAACCATGTGTAATCATTACATTACAATACAAACTATATACAGTATCATTATAATTAATCAAACAATTTTTGAAAAACGAAAAAAAAAAACAGAAGATTCGATTGAAGAAATCTCAAAAACAAAAAAGTAACACAAAAAGATGAAGAGGTGGTTTACTTGTTAGACCACTGGAATTCGATCTCAAGATTTCTTGGGCCACTTTTACTTTCAGGTAACAAACTGTATTCACCTGCAACTGCTCCCAGCATCACCACTCTATCGATTTGGATCGTTACTTTCCCAAAGGAGCTCTGCACAAAGCCAAGACACAGTTTACAGTTAAACCGGCAAAATCTTGAAACTGTTTTCTATATATGAATTAAGTTTCATGACATACCTTTCCCATTTTGCTCTTGTTTTTGCATGATATGTGGAGTTTTTGACCTTTGGGAGGGCTTTCAAATGACCATGAGAAGCTCTCGTCCCACTCTGGGTTAGGTCCTGTTGATATCACCTGAAAAAAGTCGAAAGATAGAGTTGATTTCTCGGGAAATTACTAGTTGCAGTTGATTGAAAAAGGGGTGATGAGTCATTTGTTACCTTGGTTTGTCTAGGAGGATTGTTACCGAGTGTGATCTTGCAGAACACGCTTGGGTTACCAACGGATTGCTTCATGTTGTTACCGCGCTTGATTGTGACTACCAGTGTACCTGGCAAACACTGCAGTAGGAATTCAGCTTTCTCCTGGAACCGCGGTGGACCTGATTGGATCAGGTACTGAAGTAAGGGAATGGCGTCTGCAGCAGCAACTGATTGGGCCCTGGAAACTTCGGCCGGACAGGCTGACCAAGCTTGTCTGAGAAGAAACAACGCATCCAAGGCAGCTTCTTGAGTTGCCTCTGATCCTGTCTTGAGAGATGTAACTAGATGTGGGATACTTAGTGTTGCAGGCTCAGTGGCTCTTAGGCGCGGGAAGTTGTTAAACAAAGAGTTTAAAGCTTTTAGATACTCGTCATTCACAGTTCCAGTGGCCCATAAGTCCTTCTCAATAGCAGCTGCAAATTAAAAGGAAGCAACATCTGAGATATAAGAAAATAAATATGAGCAGATCAAATTGATACAGAAGGTACCAAGATTTTTCTCACCAGTTATTGCTCTGACGGTCTCGCTAGATGCGTACTCTTGAACGGTGTGATTAGAGAAGAGTAGTTTTACGAACATTGCAGCCTGAACAGATGTTTCAGGATCACTGGAACTGATCAGATCCAAGACGACCTGCACACCACCTGCCTCAGCAACTGCCCTTTTGTTGGACCGGCTATACATGACAAGGTTTTGCAGGGCACATATAGCAACTACTTTCATTTCTTCGGTGGGTTGTTCCTCAAGGACATTGACTAAAGCACGACAAGCAGAAGCTGCGTCAGTGCTTCTAGCGAGTGCTTCGTTCTGAAAAAGATCACCGAGGGCCAAAGTTGCCAGTAATCGTGCTTGCTGAGCTTGGGTCTGTGGATCTAAGAGGTACTGGGACAAGGGTAGGATTGCAGTCTTGGTGGCTTTTGAATCTCTAATCTTCACATTGTTGAGAAGTACCTCGAGCAGTCTCGCTGCTGTGTCCTCGCACTGGTGAGACCTTAAAAGATCAAGTAGAGCTTCTATGGCACCACTTTCAGCCATGGACTCTGCGCTGGTTCCATCATCGCTTTCCAACACTAGAAGAGCGTTAAGTGCACCAACCACAGTGTTTTCAGAAGCAGAACGAAGCAGTCTTACAAGAACGGCGACAGGAACTTCCAGGTAAAATTCGGAGCTAAATTGCAAGATGATAACCAAAATTGATGCTGCAGACTCCCATAACACATTGGAAAGTGATGGATCAGCTTGCAGTATGACCTTTGACAGCTCACTCACACCACCTTCTTTAGCTATTTCATTTGGCCATGTTAGAGCAATGCTAACGAGTGCTTTCACAGCTCTCTGCTGTAATAGGTGTATGCCAGATCCCAGCACATGGATTAAAGGACCGATTGCAAGTTGTGTTAATGGATCCTTCTGCAGATGCTCCTCGTAGAGAAGATGAGACAGAAGCTCAGCTGCCAACTGCTGTACTGCTGGGGACGCAGATTCCAGCAGCGGAATTAGCGGCTCAATCACTTGGTGTGGTGTAAGTGTATAATCAGCACGGCATTGTGGATGTTCTAAGATATTGACCAAAACTTGCAGAGCACTGTGCTGTCCATCAGCTCCAAACTCCAACCTCGTCAGCAAATTGAAAAGTGGCTCCACCACCTTTGCAGCAGATTGTCCCTTCGCAATAGTAGCATTATTTGTGAGGATGCGAAGTAGTTCTGAAAACGCAGCACAAAGAAAATCTGGAGCTTCGTGGAGAATATCAAGTACGCAGTCGATAACTCCAGCTTTCACCATTTCCAGTTTACAGGCAGGCCTGTCCTTGCCTAACTTTACTAGAGCCCTGGATATCGCCTCATGAAGCACATAGTTTTTACCATAGAGAAGGCCAACAAGAGGAACCACAGCACCATGAGCTGCAACTAGTTCAGCCAGTTGTTCATCATCGACAAGCTTGTCCAGTGCACGTACAACTGAATGCTGAGCAGGGCTATACTCAGTCACAAGAAGAGAGACAAGTGGCTCAACACAACGCGCTGCAGCAACTGTAGACCTAATCCTCGTATTTGCAAACAGAACATAGCACAGCTCTGCTGCATCCCCCTTCAGTTCCATCGTATAGTTTGAAGAAAGGATCCTGCAGAGAACATCCACCGCATTCATCTCCACATCTGCAACTGCCAGAGCCCGTGATGGATTATCACTCAACAACCTAACAAGTGCAGCAATAGCAGCATGCTGCTCTCTCTCTGAACCAGTGTTGAGAATCTCTACCAATGGCTGGACAGCTTGTCTAGAAGACTCTGCATTTCTGATATGATCAGCGGTAAAGAGACTATCCAAAGCCTTGGCAGCACTGTACCTTGCTCCTCTTCCACCTAGACGCAACACTGCTACTAGTTGGCTGACGGCACCAAATGCTGACTCATGCCTTCGAATTTCAGCACTGCTAAACAAGATCCCTAAAAGAACTGTTGCAGCTTCCTCTTGCTCATCCTGAGGTCCAAGGGAAAGATATTTTGAGAGTCCCTCTAGAGCACCTGACTCTACCATGACAATCATATTTTGTGGACAGTCTCCAGCAAGCTGAGTTAGAAGATTAAGTGCAAGAAGCGGAGCACCGGGGCGGTCTGGAATTGGTTTAAGAAGTTCAACTAGTAAGGGAATCGCTTTTCGAGAAGTAGCCCCAACTCTAATATCTTCAACTCGGAAAAGCCTTTCAAGGGCAACCTGGTCTGGGTAGCGCACTAAATCGAACTCCTGCGACAGCTGCAGAAGTTCTTTTATGTCATCATCAGAACAACCAAGCAATGATATAAACCCAGCCGCAGCACCGGAGTTTGCAACAGATAGAAGAGTCCCCCGACTACCGTTACAGACAAGACTAGCTAGAGCTTGTGCTGCAAAATATCTGTCTGCGTATTCCTCTGACTTCACAAGATTTGAGAGCACTGGAACAGCCTTCATTGTTGCATGTGCGCGAGTGATTTCTCTGTCCTGGAAAAGTATAGCTAGCAATAATGCACAAACCCAAATGTTGGCGTCTTCTCCATTATCAGCCTGAAATGTTCAAAAAAATTAGCACCTAAAGAAAGATAATCGACAACCTCGCGTGCCAAAATGAGTTAGAATGTGAAATTCTATCAGAGTGGGTTTTTTTTAATCAATGTTTCTGATAAGCTGTGATCTTAAAGACTCTAATCTATAAGAAAGTTAAATACCTGGAGAAAACGGTTGCCTATCCTGTCAGTAATCAACTCGATGCCTTCTGACTCCAATATTACTGCTCTGCTCTTTTCATCATGACAAGAAAGAACCGAGAGTAACCAGATGGCTAAATTGTCACCAGAAATAACTGTTGCCCCCGTGGAACCCTCCCTATTTTCTATTGCCTCTTCTTCTTCATCTTCTTCCTTTTCTTTAGGATGAATGCATATGCAGATTTTATCTTTCTCATCCTTCTCCTGATCTTGCTGAGATGAATCTAGGATCCGCACTAGTGCTTGAACGAATTTGGCACACAATTGTGACTCATTCAAGTTTTCTATCATCTTCTGGTCGTTAACTTTGGCAGCACAGATAATAATGGCAGCTCCACCAATTTTTATTTTCGGGTCCCTGGTGTTTATCACCCTTTTAGCTATAGATGACACGCAATCTCTGGCATTGTTGACCATGTTCCCCAAAACCATAGGCTGATCAC